CGTTGCCAGATTTTAGCTTTTGTGGACAAAAATTTTCTAAAAAGTAGCCCAAAAGTATCCGAATCAAAAAATTCATTTTTAATAACCCAAGATTTGACAACAAAATAAAAAAAACAACATTCGTACTTTTCCAGCAAAAATAAATAATCTTGTTTAGACAGATTTTGAAGTTCAAAAGATGAAATAGCAAAAACATAATGTAAACAAGAAATTAAACAAAAATAAATCAAATAAAATTAATATCTCTAAGTAATACAAATAAATAAATAAAATAATAATTGAGTTCAACAATTTTGTTTATTAAGTATTATTTGTTTAAATACAAAATATCACATTTTCTTTAGTATCAACATTATAAAAAATAAACAAATAGCATTATTGAATTAATGTCGGGGACCGCAACTAATTGCCTCGAGGTCCAGTCATGGCCCGCGGGCCATATCTTTGACATCCCTGACTTAAACAGTTTAATTTTTTTTAATAATGAATATCTTCCAACTTTAATTTACAAATTCAAGTTTTTTAAACATTATCAGATCATGTTTTTAACAATAACTATTTCATATAAAACTTATAAGTAGACCCGCAAATAAACGATAATATATTGAAGAATTCTACAAAAAAGTTTATATTTAAGTTACTATATATAAAAACTTTGTGTCATTGTATCTCGGATGTTCTATTTTGTTAACATGTCAAATAATTTCCTTGACATTTTTCCTTGTATATTTCATTTATTTATTTTTATTTTATCAGTAATATTCCTATACAAATATTAGAAAAAGTATCCTAATTTTGTTGATTAATTCGATTAAATGCAATTTTTTTATACATTAAATACAATGATCATAAATATTTAATCGAATTTAACATTTGATCTATAAATATATTTTAAATTTAAATATTAATGACAGTTTGACATTTAATAAGTTACGTTACATTTAACCTTCAAGCATAGAGAGTTTAAATTTTTTTCGCTGTAAATAAATTGTACAGAAATTTTAGTAAAGAGGTTGATGAGATGAATTTTAATTAAAATATTAAACGGCTAATAAATAAATATTTATGTTTATTTGATTCTATAAATTAATTTTTCTTCGTGAATTTATATTTAGTAATATTTCGTTATTATTTTCGTTGGTAATCGATTTAAATAAAAATATTTTCAAGTTTAAGTGTTTTAAATATATTTATAAAGTTCAATTATTATAATATAAGATGTTCCACTCGAAAGTTCTTAATTTAATTTGTCTACAGAAAATTAATAGTTATTAATAAATTATAATTTATTAATAAGTTATTAAGTTATTAATATTAATATTAATATAAGTTATTAATAAATTATATAATAAATTAATTATAAGATATAAGTTCACCAAAGACTTTTATGCAAGAAAATCTTTCTAAATTTCATTTAAAAAATCATTATAACCATATATGCTTTCAACAATCACACTGACATCAAGGCGGTAGGCAGTTTTCTGCTATGTACAGTACACTGCAGCATCTACAGTACAGTACCGGTACTGTCTCACAATGGCGATGGCTGTGATGATGCCCTCCCGAAGATCCTGATTGTCTCTGACCGAAGTTGCATAAATATATTTTACGTAACCCCACAAAAAGAAATCTAAATGAGTCCACAAACCACAGAAACATTTTATTGTGCAGTCTTTTTATTAAATCTTCTAACGCTTTCGGTCAGTTGATTGGCCTTCTTCAGGAAAAGTCGAAAAATTCCGATTTACAAAGAACAAAACTGTTATGGAACGTTTTTAGAATGAAATTTTTAAAACGTTCGATAATAGTTTTGTTCTTTGTAAATCGGAATTTTTCGACTTTTCCTGAAGAAGGTCAATCAACTGATCGAAAGCGTTAGAAGATTTAATAAAAAGACTGCACAATAAAATGATTTTGTGGTTGTTGATTTTTAAGTTCAGATAGAGAAGAGTCTAAAGAAGTTCGATCGACAGATCTTGACTGCCACGTTATCGGGCTTAACAGACCACGATCTGTGCTTTCTACTGTGACTGGACATTGACGAATGCGATTGGACTTTTGGCGCCATCTTGCAGTATAAAAATATTCTTTAAGACCTGATGAGTTTTTCTATGAGATACCACTTGTTGCTTTTATATACCTTAAACCGCTTATTTTTTTTATGGCAAATTAAAATCGGATACTTTCGAGCGGAACACCCATTAATAGGCTATATATTAGATTACTGTATTTAGTTACATGTGATCGGAAAGGAAAAAATAATTACAGTCGATCCCCCTATAACACTGTTGATAATTCCGTTTTATATGAATTCCATGTTGTACGAGCCACTTAGATTTTACAAATACGTGTGCCGTGCTGTGAACGGCGGCTCACGTATTTGTAAAATCTAAGTGACTCGTACAACATGGAATTCATATAAAACGGAATTATCAACAGTGTTGTAGGGGGGTCGACTGTATTTGAAATTCTGAAAAGGAATATTTCGTTATAATATTTTAATAAATTACTTTTAATAATAATTTACAATTTTAAATTATACAAAATATATTTATTGCTTAAACTATCTAAGCACTTACTGTAATTTAGGTTAACTTTTCTTTTTAATTTTGGTATTTTATCACTTAAATGAATACAAAATTAGAAAATATTTCAAACTTTAAATTTATTAAATTGTTTTCTGTATTACTTTTCCTTAATTTTATATATTTTATTGGGAGAAATTTCTTTTTCTCCTGTGACTCGGGTAAACGGGAAACAGTAACACAGCTTGTTTATGATTGCCCTCGACACGGTAGATATACAGTACATTCAAGTTAAGAAAGGAATTACAGTCTCTTGAGCTTGAAGGGCTAAGACCACTCTTTACCTTAATTCAAAAGCCATACTATAAGTTTCTCTTTGATTAAATAAAAATTATTAAAATTAATTGATATTCCTCTCTTAAATTGACTTTGGTTAATTATAAAAAATAAATTTTAACAATTAATATAACAATTACATATAAATACACTTTTATGTTTGTATGTATCTTATATATATTTTATAATTTTTTATGCTTTATTGTGCTGTATTGTAAGTAAAAATTACATTATATTCCTATGGAGTGGTGCTCATATTAAAGTTGTATTGTCTGTTGTTGTATATTTTATTCTAAACATCATTTATTAACTAATTATAAAGAAATAAACTGAAAATATAATAAATAAATAGATAAAACTATCTACAAATATTGATATTTATAAATGCAAACAAAAAAATGTTTTGTAATCCATTTATGGATTACAAAAACATAATTACGTCGAATTGCCTGCAGATAATTATTAATCTAATATATTCTTATGTCATCATTTTCTGTGATGAAATCAAACCAATAAATTAAAGTTTTTCTGATATGTTGATAAGTTACAGAGTATTAAAGAATTGTGAAAAACCTGATTTCTAATAAACAATATCAAGTTTTGACCTTTTAAACTTGCATATTCATTTTTTCCCATCTTAATGGTTATTATTAGTTCGTCTTTATTCATCAAATTATTTGCTAAATTTTACGTATTTTGTTTTAATAAATATGGAAACACGTTATAACTATAACAAGAACGAGAGAAAAGTAATTAAATATTTATCTCGTATTTAATATAATCTTAACAAATATTTATAACAAAATATAAAAATTTTGTTCTAAATTCAGGCAATCCATTCTAATTAATTAAACTTATCAAAGTTAATTTCACTATATTTATATTTCTGCTTAAATATATCTATGTTATATTTTATTAAAACAAATATAATTCTATACTGTTATCAAGAAAGAATGTTTAGTTTAGAAACTATTAAAAGCAAGACTTATAAAAGTATTACAAAAATCGTAAGAAAGACTATAACAATGCAGAAATGGCAGAAAGGTGTCAGATAAAAAGTTAAGCGGATCCAGCAAAACTACGCGAATTAAGCCTCTCTACGGTAATTAAAAGGAGATCCAAATAGGCCATGAAGTGTGGTCAGAAACATCTCATTTCTCATTTCCACAGAGCGTTTTCGCAAGGCAAAGAAACTGTACACACAGATACTGCATCTTCATTATTCTATTTGTCAGAATCATTTGTAGAAATGGTTCTATTTGAATTGTCGCTGTTCGTCTTGTTTTCTTTCAACATTTTCAGAAAATATGCCTTTCTTTTCATTTATTCACTTTTTACGAACCAGTTCCATCGCATTTTATACAAAATGTCGCTAAAGCTCACAAATTTCTTTCAAATAACCGTAAAAGCTCGTTTTAGCAAAACGAGTCATTAGTTTATACGAGTCATAGTTTATCGGTTTCGACTTAAACCTAATGTCGCGTGAATATGTTGAAAGTATTTACTTTAAAAAATTTATTATTTCCTATCTACTTTCGAGATTACTTTAAAATATAATTATTGTGTTTCTAATAAATGTATTATTTTAAATTTTTTTGACGATTATTCTATTGATAATTGCTTTGTCAACATTTCACGTAAAAGCTTTTTTCAGAAATGCATACCACAAGTAAGCAAAGTTTCTATATTTTTTAATTCCTATCAGAGAATTTTATAAAATCTTATTTAACTTTAATTTAATTTAATAATTTGTTTCTGTTTTTATAAAACTTTTTTAAGATAGAAATCATATAAATGTGACAGTAATTCTGACAGGATTGATCCAGTTCAATAGGATTTATTCTCGAAATAAAAAAGAAACGTTATTTAAATTGTTTTGATTATACCTTTATTTTTTTATACTAGAAACTAAACTGGTTATTATTAGTCTACAGTTTATGCAAGTATATAGGCCTATTATTATTTTAGATGACTATTAATGATTAGCTTACAAGTTCGATTGGTTTCCTTCACCTTAAAACCTAAATCATACACGTCAAAGTCATCACGTGATATTATCTCCTATTTAGAGTAACAGGCGAGACGTCGAATTATTACTGATCGTCATTAATAGCAATGAACATACTCAGAGCGCTTATAATGTCAATAGTTGCCTTTTATAGAAAGAAAGACGAGAAAATAGAAGTTTTGAAACATCCAGAATGGGAATATGATTATATTATTGGTAAGTTGCATTAAAATTAACAATTAATTTTTACGAATTTTAATAGAAATGAGAGTGAATTTTAATTTCATTAAATTTAATTTAATCGATTTACTTTCGTTTAGGCAAAAATTCAAATCACTATTGCCTGTAAAATCCTTTCAGAACATACGGATTACATTTTGTTTCTATAATTTTGTAGATGCTAGATATATTTTGTGACATTTTGCACAAGCATGGCCTGTGAAACAATTATTTTAAATAGGCTATAACAATAACTATTTATACGTATTATTTAAAATAAATTTTTTGTCAGTCAGTATTAGATTTATTTAAATTTTACTCTAGCTTTATTATAGCATTGTTTCACTCGTATGCGTCATACGTCAATACATCTGCAAGATATATTTTTCGCCGGAAGGAAGAGGAAGAATAATTGATATGAGAGCACGTGGCACATCTAGATTAAAATTAACATAACGAGTTTCGGTTATTAATTAATTTTTTAAAGAAAATAAAGGCATAGGATTAATAACAATCCTGCAATCGTGCAATGTTATTTTGTACTACTCACCTTGCACACATTCACATAGTGAATGTCTTCATTCACAACAACATAGTCAGATAAGCGACATTTAAGTAGGGACCAGACTTGTTCAATTGGGACGAAATCAGGCTATTGAGAATGCCATTCGTCATAAGATCATAATATTAATCTGAATAGCAGGTTAATATTATGTTCCTAATGTCATGCTATTGCCCTCCTGCATGTATGCTTTGGATCATTATCTTGCTGACAAATGAAAGAGTTCTTGTCAATGTGATAATAGTGAACAGATTGCAATAAATAGTTTTCCAGTAAATAACGCTTGGACCTGGAATGCTAGTTATGACACCTAATTCTCATACCTAGCATTCCAGGCCCAAAATACGTAATACAAACCTAGACTACGAGACTATCACCAGTTTCAATGTTGTTTGTATTTCCTGTTGGCTACAATTTGAAAAATTGTAGACTTATAAATCCCCACGTCGTCCGTCTGCCTGTCTGTGTGTCTGTATTTAGTCTCGAGAACGGAGTTAGATAGATAAATGCCGAAACAGTATATAGAAAGATTAGCGACAGCAGGCACCGAACTATGTACAAACTTCCGATGAAGATCGAAAATTATGTTATTTACATTCAAAACGTTTTTCCTAAAAGGAGTTAGATAAATGACTGGCTTTTACTGACAGAAAAGTATAATGCTTAAGGACAAAACACTACTAAATTGAGGTGGACAGCATATGTTGTAAACTAAAAAATTATTTAAAATATAATTAAAAGTTTCAGCCCGGCATTGTGACGATGTTACAATAAATAATTGCTCGTTTTATTCCGTTATGGATTTCATCGATGTAGTCCACTCCCGTTTTCGATCATCTGAGCAAACCCTATAAAATTTGGTTTCCGCTGATTATACAATCCACTTCTAACCTTCTGAGGTCTAGTGTTTATAGCATTTGGCAATGTTAAAACGTTTTCATTTATGTGATTTGGTAAGTTTAGGCTGTTTGGGATTAACGCTAACTTTCGAATTGTTACGTTTTCGGCTTTTGCGAATAGTTGAGGTACTCAATTTTATTACTAAGCCATTTTACAATTTTTTTAACTTGTGATGACATGCCGCAATGTCCACTCGTTATCAAACCTTTCTACTTGGAACTCAATGTTTTCTCCCTTCCAGAACTTAAATTTTGATAATGTCTATTTACTATTTTTTCTTCTGGATACACTCGAACGTACAATGCCAATTTCTAATGCTGTTTTCTCAACAGATATTCCTTTCTACAGCAGGTCTACAATATGAAATTTTTTCTCAGTAGACAGCTTCCTTATACTGAAGTATTGTAGATCAAGCAGAGCTCATTTTCTTATTGATGCGCAAACATCTTGTTAATATGCAAGAAATTACACTGTTTAACATTGATATTATAAGAAATTAATTTATGCATCAAATGCAACCAAAAATATACCATAGCTGTTATAGAAATATGAAAATTCTTTTCATTTGTTACTATTATGTAAATCTCCTAATATCCTTGCATCTGATTTACCTTCCTTTAGTTTTACATTTCTAATGGTTTTCCATTAGAAATGTAAAACTAAAGGAAGGTAAATCAGTACTTTTCTGCAGTATGTATTGTACAAATTTCGGAAGAATTTTGAGGTTAACTGTAATTGTTCTATTAATGCATGTTTCAGAATGTTTTGCAAATCAAATTCGTGAATTTTCTACGAATTTAACAACTCAAAGAAAATTAAATAATTCAATTTTCTAAATTTTGAATCATTAGTTAATGGAAGAATTAAATAGATTTGAAATTAAATAAATTAAATGCATTTCAATGCCGACGCCGTCCGGAGCCTATAAGTTATAGAGGAATCTAGCTTTGAAGATTGTAGGGTGTAATTGTATGTTGAATTAAATAGTAATTGTAATGCAAAGAACCATTTGGTTCTATCTACTACTGTTTCCGAGAAGTTTTCTGGATACAACTCACCAAATTAGTCCTTTAAATCGAGGTTTTATCGTACTATATAATATTTTATTTTTCACTAGTATAAATGATTTTATTTTAAGTAAAAACTTACATTGTGAACAAAACAAATCACCAAGAAAATAGATAACATATATAAAGCATAAAATATTTTTTTGTAGTGGGAGGAGGAACTGCTGGGTCGGTCGTTGCCAGCAGGTTATCAGAAAATCCTCATAATAAAGTACTATTATTAGAAGCTGGAGGCAATGAAAATGTATTTTCCCAAATACCTATTTTGGGTGCAGCTTTTCTACAAACTTTAATGGATTGGAATTATGTAACCGAACCTCAGAAGTTTGCTTGTTTCGGTTTCCAAGGCCGAGTAAGTTTATCATAATTATTTTATACTAAATAATACACTCAATTTGATATATTTGATTATACTGTTTTTTAAGTCCGCAAGATGGTCGCTAGGGAAAGTGTTAGGTGGCTCCAGCTCCATCAATTTCATGTTATACAGTAGAGGGAATCGACGAGTCTTCGATCGTTGGGCTCGAGGAGGAGCGCATGGATGGAGTTGGGCAGAAGTATTTCCTTACTTCCTTAAGTCTGAAGATAATAGGGATATCAATGTTCTAAGGAACGGTAAATATTAGATTATTGTTTCTGTATTAAATACTGAGATAGCTCGTGTAGATAGTTTTAATTAAAATTAATTAAATTGATATACAGCTAATAGATGAATAGTAACTTTATTAAATATCTTATACAGAAAATTATTGTAAAATGTATAATAATCGTATAATGTTCTTTTAGTCAATAAATAAGTAATTAAATTTCACTTGAATACATTTCGCAAAATTAATTTTCATATTTGTAAAATGTGTTCAGAAAAATGTAAGATACAGTAATATTATGTTTGCGACTGCTATAAGTACGATCTTTGCATAATAATATCATTTAATAATTTTAAATAAATAATCTTATTTATTCAGAATAATCTTAACATCTAGTTTCTTATTCACTTCTAATAACTACTATTGAATTTTGGTTAAAAAAAAATTTCGAATTCGGTAGCATTACACATAGCAGTAATGATACCTGAAAGAAAATATTGTAATTGATAAGCATTTTCTATGACTTGTTACAACATTAAAATAACACTAAACACGAGTATATGATCTGCAACTTAGTTTCAGAATCATGTAAGAAAAAGGAGCGTTTGAATTCAATTTTACATAAGTAAGATTATTTTGTGTACTTGTAATGAAAATATTTAGAATTTTATTCCTCAATCTATTGCCTTTGGACGTTTCCAATTAAGTGAAAAACCTGCATTCTGTTTTGTTCTGTACAATGCGCATCATTGTAATGTATCCATATTAATCCAATATGGAAAATCATGCACTTTATAGCAAGAATTTTTCAGAATAAGGTTTTCAGCAATAATTTTTGGGATGCCATCACTTTTTAAGTAGTTTTCAATTGGAAATAAAGTATTCCTATTTACTGTTTTTTACATAGGTAATATATCGCTCGCCTATTATTATTATTTTGTTGAGATAAAATAAATAAAACAATCAAAAATTATTGAACATTTTATTAGCTTTTTATCATCATTTGTTTGTCTACACTATTCTATGCGCAATGACACAATTTATAGATTTAATAATAATAATAATAATAATAATAATAACTCTCCCGTGGTCACCACCTGGTCGTGGTGGGAGAGCCCAGTAATTTTACAGATCCATAGGGCAATGCAGGCTGGAGCACAAGCTCCTGGTAGGGACACCCATGCCAGTAAGGTCTATGGGGAGAAATGAAGCTAAGAGTGACCACACACCCACATTCTGTGGAGATAATCATTATGGTAGTAACCAGATCTAAGT